CATACACAAATTTATGTATATACAAGTACATGCATGCATGTGTACATACCTGAAATAATTATCTCATATTTGATCTCAATTACCAGGAAGAATTTAATTTCATATATGGTTGGGCATGATTTATGCTGGTTAATTAATTTTAGATGAGCATTACATCTAGTCAAATAGTAGGCCCATGTCTTTGTATAGAATATTGTGTCCTTACCTATTATACTTGGCAGTATGTTCTGGGTAATCTACAAATGCAGGATTTAATTTTGTTCTCTAATGATATTTTTGGTGTAAAATCTCCTATACTTTTATGGCTGTGCATACACAAATGTTGTGTATATAAGTACATGCATGCATGTGTACATACCCATGCGATGTACAACATATGCAAGATGGGAAAATATACCCATGCAAGGTACAATATATGCAAGATGGTCATTTTCCCTAGTATATTATCATGCATGCATAAGTACACATACATATATGTTATCCATATATAAGTATATATATGCATTCATATATACTCATCCATGCACACATACATAAGTATCCCTATATGCAAGGTCTTCAATTTCGAATAATATTGTCCATATCAAGCAGTACGTACTGGTTCGCCAGTCGATCAGTACACGGACCGTCTGTTACTGGACGATTTTTTTTTCACTTATATATATATATATATATATATATATATATATACATCGAGTGGTATATCGAAATATACCTCTCAGTATATAGTACCATACCGTACCGTACCGAGCGAATCTCGAAACTCCGATACGGTACGATATTTCAATTCTTGCCTATATGCAAGTGTTACTCAATCTTCTTAATATATTTGCACCACTTTTGTTGATGTAAGTGTGACTAGCAGCTCATTTGGTTTTTATACATTGATCAGCTAAGTGGGACCATGGGGGCTCTTTCATTAAAGGGATCACCATATTGGATGGCTCCAGAGGTACTTTCTTGTGTGTGATTATCACCTGTCCATAGTGATATTGTACTAGTTTGAACTTGTTTGTTGCCTTTTCTTTTGTTGTTTGTGTGTTGGGTTTGACCAGATCTAAGGGATAAATATTTGAAAAAGATCCTTGAAGTTTGCCTTATAATTCACTTTGTGTATATTGATACAGAGCTTTTATCTCATCTGCCCTGGGCTATATTTCTTTCTTGTTAAATAGTCTCAAGATTATGTGGCAAGAGTAATAATGATTTAAAATAGTTGGGCACTCAAGCTTCTGAGGTGTATAATTCGAGCAAAACCAGGCAACATAAAGGAACTAGTATGCCAAACACCTTTCTCTGAGAACAAATTTTACATTGAGACAGTTTGAGATACTTCAAAAAAGACAAGTAACAGTGTGTAACGAGCACATCTGGTTAATCAAATTGCCTCAAATAAGGAGAGTAAGAATTACTGTGGAGTTGTTATGAACTTATGATCAGTATAATAAAGACATTTTCCTGATAGAATGACAAAGAAGATTTAAAAATGTCATCAGAAAGCTCCAGGAAAGTCAATAGTGATATGTGCTGGCCATTAGAAATGGATGGTGATGAAGCCCATTGCGCTGAAAGTTAGTTGGACCGATCAGTTTTCACAAGGTTAGTTTGTATTGAATTGTTATCTTGGACATTATTATGGGATTACAGTATCATTTTGTATAAATTCACCATAATACAAACCAAAGAATTGAGCAATTGAAAGTTATTGAATTTTAAAAGAACCCACACAGAAGTTTGCTATTTGTGTTGCTATGTATATACTAACAAGAAAGGACTGAAAAGCTTTGCCATCTTTACTAAACGGATGCATTTATCCTATGTATTCACTGGCTTCTAGCCTTCTATAGACCTCTTTAGTGTTTGATAAGTTTATCATGACAATCACCTTTCACTTGCAATTATATGACTTTGAAATGTCTCTATGTTCTTACTGAAGTTACGAACTGGTCATATGCTAAAATCACTTGTTTCTTCATAAGTTCTTTTTGGTAGTGACCGTCCTATTTTTCAAATGAATACTTCTGTAATTAATTGATTAAAATAGGATAGTTTAGTGCACCAGTGGAATTGATTAATTACTTAAATACTAAGTTCATGTGTTTGTACAGTTCATATTACATTACCAAGGAAACCTTGAGTCTATTGACCATTTATGTTTTTGGGGAACCATATTGTTACCAAGCAATCCTGCTATTACTCTGTTGTTTTCTCTTTTGGTCCTTCTCTTTTCCTGGATTTAAATTGTTCAGTTTGCTTTTCTGTTCGTTTATATGCCCATTGTGCACAAGGGATTTCACACTCTTGTTCTGGAACATTTTTTCTGTGAATGCACACTCTCATGACCAGGTAAACTGTTACAATTAAAAGGATATCCTAGTTCTTTCTTCTGAAGAATGCAATTCCAAGTTATTGTAAATCTTTTTTTAATAAAATGACTCATAAATAAAGCTTGGGTAGAAACAAAACCAAGCCTTTGAATGAGACACTTTTCAACTGGAATCTAGGTCCGTGCATTTAAGTTTGAAGTAGTTGTCCTATTGTTTCATTCTTAAAGCATATCAACTTTATAACTGTTGGACCTATTATTTTTTCTGTCTAGGTGGTGCAAGCTACAATGAACAAGGATGTTGGTTATGACTTTGCTGTTGACATTTGGAGCTTGGGTTGTACCATTATCGAGATGTTTACAGGAAAACAGCCTTGGAATGGTTTAGAAGGGGTAAGTGCTCTTTATCATTCAAGTTGTATGGCTATTGTAAATAGTTAAAATTCCTATGATGTCATCTGCAAGGTGGACATTTTGATGTTGCTCGACTTTTAGGTCAAGCATTATTACGTGCAAATGCATTGGCCTTATAATATTCTAAATATGATGCCACCACCTGCATATATGTTTCTGTATTTTGAAGGTCTTGTTTGTTATTGGAGGCCAAATTGCCTATGCCACTTCTCTTTCAACACCTAATTGTTTTGAAATTCATTGGATTTTTTTGTTTTGTGATTCAATACCTTTTATTTTGGTTATTTGAGGCTCCAGTGCCTAGTTCTCAAGACTGTTATCTTAAGTAATTAAATCTCCTAGTACCATAAGCTTGACTGTGATTACTATGGAATATGGGTAGTTGTGAGGCAAATTGGGTTTCAGGCAGTGTGATATTCGAGGGGAAACTATTGCAAGATTAATAGATAAAAATATGTTTTATATGTGTGATGATAATCCTAAAACATGTCCTGCAATTTATTGCTTAAATAATCATCATCATGAGTTGGGAAAATCTGCCTTCTAGAAAAGCAAATTTCTGTTTTGGTTGCAGTAGGAGGTCTTGCTGACAAGGAAGTAGGGTGACCACTATTTGGGAGAGTTCAAATCTGAGTTAAAATCTTTCAAGATACCTGTATTTTGACGTGAGAATTTGTAGCTTTGCATCAACTAATTGAAATATAGATTGCCTTATTTACTAATATAATGAGCTTTTCTTGTAATGATGTGTATTTAAAATCAATGATTGTCTTTTATTTACTTGTCTGATTATTGATGTAGTTTTCTTTGGTTCATGGGGATATAAATTCTACTTTCTGTTATGATTATCATAGGCTGCAGCTATGTTCAAAGTCTTGCATAAAGACCCACCAATACCTGAATCATTGTCCAATGATGGGAAAGACTTCCTGCGATGCTGCTTTCATAGAAATCCCACAGACAGGCCAGCTGCCAACATGTTGCTCGAACACCCTTTCATTAAAAACTCCCACCACTACAATGCTCATGGTTCTCTCCAAGCATTTGCAGGGATTAAAATTTTTGTAAGTCTTGGGTTCTTCCTGAAGTTCTACAAGTAATCATAGTTTCATAATTTTGAATAAGTACCTTTTGATCATAACAGGATAATAGTATCCGCCCAAGAGAGAAAAGTAAATCAAAAAGTGAGCCGTGTGTGAAGGAGAGACACACAGTTACTGGGTAAGCTTGTTTATACGTTTGGTTATGGAGACTTAACTTGTTATGTTTCAATTCTAGAAGAGTTACAGATACACTTGTTCTATTCAGGAAAAACAGAAACTCTCGTCCTGGGACTTCCAAGACAGCAGCCTCTCGTGTCTCACCTTGCTCGACTCCTGCGATTGTTCCTAGTTCATCACCACCTCATTCAAGTTATATCATGATGAGTTTAGCTGGCTCTTCTACAAATATTCTGAACGGTATGCAATTCGCCACTGGAAGCCCTATGCATTACCCCAACCCTTTGAGAATATAATTATAAATCTAAATCTCTTTTGATTTAACCTCTGGGCATGGTCAGGTCGAACTTCTTTGAGGAGTCCCAGGAATTGAATCACTAACTGCACAAAGAAAATGAGATCCATTCAAGCATTCTGTGTTGTTGTAATCAGATTTACACCGTTGTTCATCACACTCATATCCCTCCCAGTTTTTTCATCTGAGGCTAAGGTGGTACTTATCATTAACCATGATGGTGGAGGAGGGGTCCTCGGAATTAGCTTGTTTCATCGACTAATCATTGGTAGTCCGGACTGAACTAGCTGTATGTTGTATTGAAGAACTTCACAAGCGCTGAAGTTAAGCCCCATGTTAAATATTTATCATGTAGAATAGCGTCAAGCAAAATTCAGATTGGGACTAAGCTTATAGTGATTATTTAACAGTTGTACATTACTGTTCAGCAATTAATATCAATAGACTGCAGGGTGACAGCCAGCAAAAGTAGAACATTATTTTTTTTTCCCTTGTGTATGTGTTTGTGTGAGAATTGGCTTGATAATTTATGAGTTTATCTATGCTCTAGTTAGCTGATTGTGTTTACTCCAAAGTTAGTCACTTAGAGGGAAGAAAGAAATGACTCGGCTTGGTCCGACCCCGAAGAGAATGCATGTCAATCTCGTTTGATATGTCGAGACGCCAAACAGGATGCAAATATGGAATCGAAAGTGCTGCGCTGGAGGACTCCTCCAGATCTGTTGAGATCCCTTGGGCGACCGAGCTCCTCCCCAAGAAGGTTTATGATAATTTTTTTTCATCTTGGCAAATTTTGCATGGGTCCTTCAAGGCTATATGAGTTCAATATTGATCACAACTTCATTTCTCGCATTTGTTTTATTATTTAACGGATTACTATCTTTTAACTTGATAAATTTAGGATTGAAATTGTACTAGTTTGTCGTAGGAGGCATATCGGAATTTAACACATTGCAGCTGGATTGACTTCACCTTTGTCATTTGTTTGGAACAATTTGTGTGAGCTTAAATATCACCCTTAATGTTTGTAATACACAGAAACATAATTTTTTGGTCTTTGTTGTTAGGAACCTTTTGCATCGATACATACAATCAATGTTGAAGTTTTGGATTAGCATATGAAGCACAGTTTTTGTCTTTCATATATATACTCAAATTATACATGATTAAAGTAAAATGTTAGAGAGCTTTTATATTGGTAGATATTGAGAAGAATAGATTGAAAGCGATTGTTGAGTATCTGAAATAGATTTCTAGTCTGGACTTAAGATCAAATTATAGATAAATCAGAGAAATGGTTTGCATCATCATAATCTTATCATAAGAACAACAATTTCTGTTTAAAAACTTCAGTCATTTAGTGTAACAAAAATAGGATAAATACATTAAGAAAACCAGTCAAACATAGCATCTCAATTGCATTTAGTTGAGCAGTACAATAACCACTAGCTTGACACATCCTTCACCTCCTGCTTTCATCAACTACTTACTACTACTACTACAAGACAGTTCATCATTCACCAAAGAGTCTGTAAACAAATGTTTGTTTGACCAAGCCAGTCTGAGACATCTTATCCTCTTCCCTCTTTCTTGATAGCAGCTCCCAAGTCTTTGTTTATGTGATGTTTCTATTGCAAGCCTTCCTTGGTCTGCAAAGATGGTCAGGCCACCAGTCGAAGTAAGCCTTTGTTTACAGGAACATGTCTCATGCATAAATTCCCACTCCGATCCTTTCCTTTTTTATAATCCATTAATCCAGAGAGACGACTCTCTCTACTTCAGCTTGTCCTTCTTTGTTCCAACACTCTCACTAAACCTTGTCTTGGGCTCTGCATTTGGCTGCGAGTCACAGCCATCAGATCATGGAACAGAGGGTGCATGGCTTGCGGTTAGTTGCCTTTGCTCTCATCGGAGCAAGTCAAAAGGGGGAGCAGAGATCTAACAGGCTTCAGCGGGCAGTGTTCCTTTGTAAGATAAAAGAGTAGCTGAGAACCACATGTGAAGGAGCTGAGTAAGTCCTTTGGCTTTTCTTCACAAGTGGCACATCAAACACTTGACTAAATAAATAAATAACTTAGTAGAAGGATTTTTTTTCTTTCTTGACTGCTCTAGAGAAGGTGAGACCTGATTTGTTTTCAGCATACATGTCAAAGAAGTCGAAGATTGATTTCCAGAGTTGAGCAACTCTCATGGCTAGCAATTGCTGAGATCAGTAGAAATTCCAGTGGGATCATCATTTCTTGTTTTCTTTTAAGTGATCAATCACATCGGAGTTTTGTTTATAGAAAATGTTCCATTTGACATTAGGTGATCTTGTCATTGGAAAAATCCATTGATGAGGACCAGAACAGATATTCAATTGCATTTATGCCTTCCAAAGCAAAACATCTCCTATTCAAGAAGACAAAAGTGGACTTTCTTTTCCATAACTTTGGATGATGAGATGCACTTGGAAAAGTTTGAAGTCGAATGGCTTCATACCATTCGAGGATCTCATCATATTTTCCATTGGATGATGATGGTTGAGAGGGACCTCAATTCATGGCATTTTTTCTCCATGGAGGAAAAGATTGAACTCTTTATGTACCTGAAAACTTCATTTTTGACTTTAGTGTTGATTGGTTTTGTTTACATGACAAGACATCATCACGAGATACATTAGTCACAGTTGGAGTTATATCTCATTCCACCAAAACAAACAATTCCAAGTGCATCCATCCTCTTTACAGTATCCGATCAAGATCATATTACATCACCCTCACTGCTTCACAGTGAATATTTCCCACGGAAAAGGGCACGATGAGAACTACAGCAAGGACCAAATCCATCGATGGACAACATGGGATGTGGTATGTGAAGCAAACAAGGCAGGTCTGCAACGCTATTCACAAACAGTCTTCAGTGGCCTTCCCTTTCTTCTTCCTCACTCCATTCGATTTGGAAACATCTCACACAGCTCAACTTCCAAGCTTCTCAATCCTAAGAACCAACCAATCCAACCATAAACCATCCAAACATGCACTCACACAACCAATAATCAAAAACAAAAGTCAAAGAAAAGAAGAATCAAAATCAAGACATTCCCATGCACATCCAAAAATCAGTGTTAGGTTGGTCTCTAATGGATATCTGGCAACCGCAACCTTCTCCTCTTAGTTCTTGACGAGCTGATGGAGGCACTGTCGATGGCAACGGTGATGCTGGAATAGTTCTCTGATGCTTCAGAAGAAGACGACCTCTTGGGTGTTATCATGTTCTTGGGCAGATCCTGAGTCATGATACTGTAGCAGGAAAACACGTGTTCCTGAAACACCGCCAAGAAAACTCTAAGCTCACCATTCCATGATTGAGCCGAGCGAGGTTGACACACGGTGGCCTACCTTTTCTGAAAAGGATTGGAACAGTGACGTAGTGCTCATCTTTGTCTCCAGTAACTCCTTGGAGTAGATTTCGCTGGATGCGGCCAATATGGCAGCTGCAGCAACTGCGGAGGAGCGACAAGCAGTTAAATTGATCGCTGCATCCACAAGGAAATGATCCGAGTTATGCAAATAATTAAGGTGTTTGATGAATCGACTGTGCCTGTATGGAAAGTGGAAGCCAATGACAAACCATCGATGGCCGCAAAGATGAAGTCGATGGCTTTGTGCAGTGACTCCTCACACTGGAACTTCGATCTGAAATAACTCAGGTAATCGAATGGCGTCACGCAGTTCGTCCTCCACTGCAGAGTATCCAGGAGGAGGAGCTCCATCCTCTGCACCGCATTGCTGTCGAACGCGTACCCCTCGATCTGCATCTCCGAGAGCGGCGGCACTCGGCGCTCCTCCATCTTCGCCGCCACGGACAAGCATGCCGTCGACAGCAATCCGGTCGCCCATGGCTTCCCGTTCTGATCGACAACAGATTGATGAGTAGACGGGAAGCTCGATGAACAAGGGAAAGAGGAGGGCATGAGAGCAGATCTAAGTTACATCAATTCTTCGCCGTCGAAGGAAACGATCAAGATAAGCCACTGCTAGATATGCTGTTTGGAAGCCGAAGCCGAAACGGGCGGTGGTCTGAACAACACACATCAAAGTCTGGGATGAGGAAAATACACACACACACACACACACACACACACATAGATAGATCGATGAGACGAGGACTCACGTTCAAGATCCATCGGATGGCGTCGGAGCGGGCACGCTTGAACCAGTTGTCCGCCGGAACCAAGCACTCGTCACAAGAGGAGAATTCACGGTCCTGCCTCTCGAAGCTGCTCCTCTCTCTCGAGGCCAGCTCCTGGATGTACTCCTCGTCCGTAAAAATCGCGTCTTTGAGAAGCAGGTACGCCTGACACAGTTCATCTTCAAACTCCAAATCCAAATCCAAATCCGGATCCAGATCAGTCGCGTCTTCCTGGCAGAGGAGGCTGGAGATCGACAGAGAGCAGCCGGGTTCATCCATAACCCTCTCCAAGCAAAAGGCGTCTGTGGTAATTGTCGATAGCTATACGTGTTTGCTCAACCGCAAGAGGCAGGCGGACATGGCAAGGTGTGAGGAATAAGAGGAGAGAGTGTCCCTATTTAAGGAGCAATGAGACAAAAGCGACGCAGCCAATCCACCATTGGAGCTGTCTCTCGACCTTCCTGTTGCGGACGCAGAGAGGCTTTTTCTAATACATGTTTGTAGAGTGCTAATCCATGCTGCCGAATCTCCTCGGTGGATCGATGGGTCTTGTCGTATGCCCGCGTTCCTTGGGTTAGGCAGCCCTTCCTTTTCCTTGGCTCTGTTGTATTGAAAGCTCGTCATGTGACTGTAGTGTCCGTCTCAACTCGTATTGCAGAGTTGCGTTCTGTGAGTCCAAAGACGGATGATTTCATGTACGAGATGCAGACGTGAAGACAAATAGGTGTGCTACCATTTCCAGCTCCAATCGTCCTCTCCAGTTTCGAGTATGACGGGAGAAGCAGACGGAGCGAGTTGAGTTGTCCCCATGCGGCGGCGGTGGGTCACGATGTTGGACTGCGAGCTCACATCCGGATGATTTGCAGGGGTGAGGGACACATGTTTTTCTGTGCTTCTCCAAACCCATGGAAATGGTGACAACCATTATGAGGAAATCCATGTCTTCTAGCCTTCGGTTCTGCCCCAGCGGACTCCTAAGTTAATGAAGGATGGACCAGAGCTCGCCTGAAATCTTCGCTCTGTGTTGTTGCTGCTGCAGGTGCTTTCTACTAAGTTATCCAGAAGATTTAGGACAGTGTTGGTCAAATAAGGTTAGGATAATGTGGGTTCTGATTGCTTGTCAACAATGTGAGAGTGACCGCCACCATGATCTATATGAGCTTTGGTTGAGCCTAACACAGGGGGAGGAAGAATTAGAGGGAAGGAGGGACCCCAAACCCTGCATCAAAAGTCTCCAACAATTCCCACTCCGAGCTCCGCGAGAGACATGACGCATGTGGGGGATGTCAGACCCAAGCCCAGCACACACACAGCTTTCTCAGTCTCCAGTTGCCATTGCGAGCTCAACACTGCGAGTACAATGATCTCCAAACAAATGGATAGAGGAAGAGGATGGTCACGTCACTGGCCCCCTTTTTGCTGCTTTATGTCAAGATTCAAGACGATCGCTAACCCAACTTTGGCCCAGGGTGCAAGAACCTTTTGACTTCAGGCGAGAGTGTGCAGGAAGGAAGAACAGATGTTAGCATCAAGAAGAAGCCACAAAATGGTATCAGGTTGGCATAATACTACAACTGTTATCCACGATTGATAAGCCTTGCTGAATTCGTACAGATCCATAAGCTTCAAAACTATGCAGACCAAAAACAGTGGCTGGCGCAGGTGTGATGTCACGCGAGCATTCTTGCACACCAAGTGTATGTTGTTTGGCCCCTTTGCCGATCTATAAAGCCATTGTTAGCATCAGAACGTGAATCCAGAGATTGAGCACTCCTGCTCTGACACCACAATAACTTAAGACTGTGCTGGTCACACGATCCACCATGGGAGAGCTTGTTGGATTAGGATGTTGCTGCAGGCCAACTCAGACGTGGGTGAGAGACGAACAGACGAGGGCGAGGAGCCATGCTTTCTATTAGGTTGGCTGGATCGGATACCAAGATCTTGAGGTGGGTGAGAGGGTGTGTTCCCTCGGCCAAGTTCCCCAAGTTTGACCGCTCGCATCACATGGGCGACGCTGCGGTGCTGTGTGTACTAGTAGTATTTATTGTATTGCCTGTGACCTCTGGAGGATGGAAGTGGTTGTGGTCCTTGCTCCTCCTCTTTGAGAGCTGCTTGAGGTTGGTCGGTGCAGACGTGAGGATGGACGACGAGCTTCCACGTGGGTTCATTGCTCGCAGATGTCGATGATTGGTGAGCAAAAACGCTAACGAGCGGTAAGTTGACGCGTCAGTAATTGTAGACAGATAAAACATTAAAACATCTGTTGACAGTGGGATTTGAACACACGCTCTTTTGAACCAAAACTGGCGCCTTAAACCAACTCAGCCATCTCAACTGATGTTTAAATGGTGAATCTTATTTTTTATATACATTTAAAATAAGTTGGTAATTGTAGACAGATAAAACAGAAATTATCTGTTGAGAGTGGGATTAGAACCCACGCCCTTTCGGACCAGAACCTTAATCTGGCGCCTTAGACCAACTCGGCCATCTCAACT